GTTTATTCGGTGTTATTTGCTTATTCTATATATCTATATCGGCACCGACCCTGGACTCTATCAAACTATGAAATTGTAATAAAATCCCGCGCTTAAAGTTTTTGTCTAATTAAATTGCGAAAAAAGGTGTGAACGCGAAAGTCGCCGATTATTCACCATCAATCCTGAACACATGATTCGTTGCATTCAGTTTTCATAATGTTTTAAGCGTACATAACGCCCTCACGCGTTCTCATTTCGAACCAGCGAAGGTTAGCGTATGATTCTACTGTCGGTGCATACCGCCCCCACCAACGCTTCCGCTGTACATACCGTTTTCATGCGATCCATATATTCATTCCTCAGCTCCTGAGAGCGAGGTTATTTGTAGTTATGTTGACGATCACTGCTGTGTCTGCGGAAGTACTATGGGATTGCATGATGAGAATGAAAAGTCTTTTGATCAGTCAAATAATTTTAAAAAAGTGAAAACTAGAGTGACTGTGAAATAAAGGTTGGTTTTAAATATTAAATATCACGGAGTCTGGATGAAATAATGAAAGGAAATTGAACGGGTATGAAAGGGCAAGAATGCAAGGTCAGAATCCGGGGGTAAAAATAAGTCACAATACATCCATCATGGCGGCTGTCAACAACTATGGATGCGGTAGAAGACTTGATTTGCAGTTTGCGTGAATGGCCGGGAATAGATCATGCAAATTCTGTGCTTTAGTAACAGTATTTGCCGCTTTTTCGTGCAGTGGAAATTAATACAAGAAATGCTGCCAAAAGACATTTCCTTCTTGTGAACAAAACAACCTTGGGACGTTTATCTTGAGAAATTGAGAAGACGAAAAACCTCTGGGACAGTCGTTGTTGTGAAACAATGGACATACTTATCCAGGGTATGAAGGGTATTTTTGATTATTTGAAAAGGAAAACTGCTGCTTTATAGAAGAGCAAAGTTCAATGTCATTAGCCAAAGTAATTCTAAATCGATGTTGGTTTTCAGAGGTGTTACCTCAGGCTGGTGTATAACTAATAACATTACAATGTCTTTGAGTTTCTCCCTTTACGTATTTTACTAGCCGAGCCACGCCTTGATAATTTATCAATATACATATGGTAGTGATGTATGGGGGATTGAAATTGAAGTTGTACATATAAATATCTTCGTTTTCTCTTGGGGACATCCAAAAATACCACAAGATTTGGCGTATATGATGAACTTGGACGTTACCCATTGGGGACTTTCATCGGAAAAACAAATGATAAAATATTGTAATCGTGTACAGAACTCGTCAAATCCATTACTAAAACAAGCTTTCCAAGAAAACAAAGAAATTAATAGTAAATGGTACACTAATATAGACTCCCTTTTGAATAACATCAACCAGTCTAACCTAGTCGACAACAATGAAATTCTAACAGCAAGGCAATTAGGACAAATTAATAAAAATATACAAACATCATTTATATCAACTTGGGAAAGTAAATAACATAACGACAATCGACCAAAACAAAATGAAAAAATTATTAATTAAGAACATACAGAGAATAAAAAAACAATTTTGTTTTGAAACCTACCTTGTTACCCTGCAAAATATTGAGATTCGTGAAAATTTAACTAAATTCCGCCTCAGTGACCATAACTTGAAAATTGAGACTGGCAGACACATAGAATACCCCTTGCTAATATATTATGCAACCTGTGTGATCAGAATCATGTAGAAGATGAGTATCACCTAATGATGTCATGCAAAAGTTATACCCCCTATAGAAATGTCTTATTTGAAATAGCAGAAACCAAAGTTTTCAAAATTTGTCACCAAAGACACAATTCGTAGTCTTGCTAAACAACAGTAGTCTAACACTTCCTGTAGCAAGGCACCTAAAAAAGTGTTTTGAAATAAGACAGCATCACCAGTGACAATTTTCTTTCTCAGTTAAGTTTTGCATTTTGTTTTCTATCTTTTTATAGTATAATAAATTAGTCTTTATTTACGGGTGCCTCAAAAGCGTATCTGTAATATATTAGCTTAGTTTTTGTATTTGTTGTATTTTATTTTATTTATTTTTTAGACTTTTATTATTTCTTAAACATTTGTAACCATTGTCAATCCCTCCGGAGAATGTGTAAGTGTTAATGAAATTATTATTATTTAGTTAATGACCCCGCAAATTAGTCATTTGCCTTGGCTAGTTGAGAGGTTTGTAAATGGGTGACGAGCTAGAAGTATTCGCCGTGACTCTTGACTTTTCATTCCGGTTTATACAACACTTAAATGTTACTGTCAGGAAGGTTTAACGTCTTGTTTGTATTTGTACAATGTGAAAGAGGTTTATTGTCAAAATATATATAGGTGCTTGTGTACGCATTGAAACTATACAAATATTTTACTTATGTCACAAAACTGTACGTTTTGAC